GGGATGTAGGATGTGAGTTTATTTCATTAAGAAGAATTCCCATAGATAGTACATAAGAGAGGGTTGGCCATGAGCACTAGGGTGGCCTGACAGGATTGGGCTGCAGAGTTTACTGGGATAAAGAGGGAAAACAAAGAACATTCACTTTTTGTTTTTTTTTTGCCACAATTGCTGATTTCCTAAAAAGAAAATGTGCATAAAAGTTGTTAAACTTTCCTAAAAAGCCAGGTATACTACAATCTGTTGATTGACAATGCACTTCAGCACTTGTAATGAAAAGTTTGTCTAATCTTACTTGACAATAATTACATTAGGTAGTCTCATGCCCCTGTGTTGCTATATTCATAGGGATCAAAGGTAATGCACAATGTCCTTTCACATATATTTGTCTTGGGTTCATTGATATCTTTACAATGTGATAAGATGAGGATAATTTTGTTGATAAATAGCCACAATTTTAACCATTAATTTCCCTTAAATTCTGCCAATATCTCTGTTAATACAACACCACATACACAACACAAGTTCCCAACATCATCACACTCTCTCCTGTTGGGTCTCCCTCCCTCTGACTTTGCGAGGGGGCCCTGCTACGCAGCCTTTGAACCTCAATTGTACATAGTACACCAGAAAGTCTCTTTACATTGATGCTACAGCAGTCTAAATCACTCCAACACTGATTTACACTACTATTCTCCTCTATGTCTCCGCTCCTGCCAGCTGTTTTAAATTAATCTGGCTGCCCTCTGTAACGCTGTTAAAGGGTAAAGAAGTAAACTTAGTCACACTGATTTTAGAGACAGGGAGAGTCCGTGTGAGGTGTGAGAGGTGTGTGTGTGCACTTGTGATGGGGGATATAGCAGGTAAGGGGCTACTCTCATGTATCAGTGTTCTTTTTATTAGTGCATGTGTGTGTGTGAAGCACATGGACACACACACAAACACACCTGTTTGATCCGCAGCTAGCCCAGCAGCTCCCAGCTACTCAACAAAAGGTCTCCTCTATCCATTGTATGAACCGGGTGTTTCTCAGGAGAGCGAAGAGAAGGGCAGCACCAGATCACTTTCTCTTGACATGGATGTTTATTTGCACCGTCCAGCAGAACATTCACAGACACTGTAAAAACCAAATTATTTATTAATAAAATAAATATATAAATATAATTTATTTATTTATTTTCAAATTTTGACATGCAGTTCAAGAAAAAAAAAAGAGCGACCTGACAGAAGAACAGACATGTGAGACAGACAGATAAAGAGATGTCGTCTATGACAGTGCTCTAAGCGCACTTATATGAAAAAAAGAAAGAATATTTGCAATGTTCTCAGCTATTTTATTTGCGCCTTGTCTTTACACCAGTCAGCTTCCTTGTCAGGCCTGTTCATGAATCCAGATCAACCCAGTGGGTGGGTAGAGAGATTTCCTCCTGATCTTGACAAGCCTGCCCATCCCTCGCTGCATACTAATTTCTCCTGAACCCAGTAAAAAACAAATACAGCGTGTCAGGGTGGCCTGAGGAGCAGGATGTTGAAAGAGTTAGGATAAAGAAGCAGTTGTGGTTGTGTGATTAATTTGATGGTCTGCTGAGGACCAAACAGTTTACAGGGCGTTGGAGTTTGCTGTGAGATACTTGGAGGATTTGGGAGTTTCATATTTTCTATTCAGCAGACAATCATCTGTCCTCAGCTGCTCCCTCTCCCTTCACCATTTCTTAACCGGCAGTTTTGAATGCTATCTATCAGAGCGCTGGCAATATCTAAAGGTTTCCTTGAGATTGAGCGTGCCTGCGGGGTTGACCATGATCTCAGTCGAGCTGAAGACGCCGACAGTTGAAAACAAACATTGAGGGCTGATATCATCTAATCTCCTGAATGTCATTATCGTCTAAGATATCACCAGACTCCCCTCTGTACCCACGTATACCCACCTCTCCAAAGCAGACTTTCTCTCTTGCACCACACACTATTTGAGGTAAAAGCTTGTGTGGCAGGCTGGGCGTGAATATAAGCCTTTGTTACGCTGTAACCGGACTCTACAGCAGGTTGTTTGATCCTGTTTTGGGTTTGAAAAGGCCTTTTTTTTAAAACTTGAAACGCCACATCAGCTGAGAGGGTCAGACTACAGACTCTATTGGAGGAGAACTATGTGTGCTCTTCTTTATTTTTCTATTTTTCATCTTCACTTTGTCCAAACTCAAGTTAGTCTTTTCACTGACCAACTGAATTCTATCTGTCACATATGACCTTACTAAGAATTGATATCTGCAACAAACCCCTACCAAAAACAGATACAGGGGACATTAACCTCTCTGTCATATCTCTTTACATTTGCAAATGCATTAGCGGATTTTACCATTACGCTACATAAAGAGATTTTTAAAGACTGCCTAAATCTCTTACCAAACTCAGTTATTGGTAACAGTTTTTACTACAATACAATAGATAATTATGTCTCAAGGTTTAGCTCAAAGTGCTGAGTCATATGCCATCCTTGCTCCTAAGCATTTATTGGATGCTGCTTTGCGCTATACTGTATCTTACACAAATTAGATTGGACAGTAAAATACTTTGAGTCTTAATATTTGTATGTTGTATGTTGAAAATTGTTCTCTTCCCATGAAGCAGCCTTGCTCTCCTTATTGTCTGACATTGTTTCCATGTTTACATGACAACGTGGAGCCATGCACCTGTGTTGTATACTGTCATGGTTGCTGACTGGTAGTTCTATATCTGTGTCATTGTTTTGGCATCACTCTCCTAATTTGTGATCTGTTTTTCCTGTCCACTGTGGACAATGTGCATGCAAATGTCCTCCCTCCCATTATCCTCAGCTGTCTTTGCATGGCAGCTTTTTTTTTTTTATCCTTCTAAAAGGTGTAGATGAAGAGTTAAAGCGAGGGGACAGGGGTGGGTGGGGATGGAAGAGGGGGGGAGTGTAGGGTTGTATTTGTTTTGGAAGGGGATTGGTGCACGTATGCATGCATGCATATGGGCACAGGCATCCATCTGTGCCCCTCCAAACCCATTCCACATGTGAGAAACTGTACCCTGATTTGCATAAGAATAATTGACGCTTTATATTAGCCTTCCAATCAAAGAGGATTATTTTCTTTCCAGCATATGTGGAGGCAGAGAGCACAGTCAAAGTGGAGAATATGTACGGTGGGGCAAGGGAGAGCAGAGGAAGGAGGGGACACATCATAAAAGATTAACCCTTTAATTTCTTTATTTCAGAATGGATGGTTTCATATGTCTTTTTATAGCAAATATAACTGAGAATACAGTAAAAAAAAATACTTTTGTAGAGAAATAATAAATAATTTCTTCTATAAATCCAAGCATCCTGTGACTGCTCAGTGGGAAAAAAAATAGTCTTTGTGATTGAAAGACATTTTAGCTTTGAAAGCTAAGTTTTTACACATCTGTATTCAGCTCAGTGGATTTGAGAGCAGGCCAAGAAAGTGCTGTTAAGAAGAGAGAGTGCGTGTGTGTGCGTGTCAATGTGTGGATATGTACGGATTGAGGGTTTTTCTCACATTAAACCATTAAAGCAAGTGCAATGTTGAATTATTGATAATGGCTAATGAAAAGGATCAGGTCAGGATGAACTGCAGGCTTAACCAGAGCCCTGAGGGCTAAGGCAGAGAGAGAGAAGGAGGGGGGGATTGGTTTTTCAACATCTAATTTAAAAATTAAAGATCTTCAAAATGATGTCTGTCCTAGAAAAGAGTGTGTCTATACTTCACTCCTGATTGTTCTATTCATGTTCTAGTTACACGATAATCTAATGCAGTTATAACCGACATTTACCGACTCAGGTAACTGCTGTGTTATGGTTCAAGGCCTCAGCCCACTTGGTGGGGCTGAGCAGGCTTTTGGGGGAGAATATAGGAGTCCATTTTGGGGGAAGGGGATAAGAGTAGAGGGTTCTGTAAAACTGAGCATCCCCCCACTTACGGGGTAGAGGATGTGTCTGGGGGTATCCATGACAACACTGCTGCGTGCCAGGGACATACCACCACAACATGGCCTAGTGCGTCTGAGTTGTGTGTGTTTAAGGCACACATCTCTGTGTCATAAATATTCAGTCACTCAGACGGAGGATTTCTGCTTCTGCAGACTCCATCCTTCAGAATGACACACATGTGTCATGGAGACCTTTATTACAGCCTTCACCCAGCCTTCACCCAGCACCAGTAAATATACTTTGAACTCAACCTGTTTTTTGTATGTGCAGTTCGACCTTGTTGTCCTGAAAAAAAAATCATCTTGTATTTATATATGTATAAATACACATTTTTATGGTTGTTGTTGGGGTTTGATAGTTCTCACAGACACAGCATAGAGAATCTTCACATTCACTGAGTCTTTACAAGTCAGTGTCTAACAAACATGCCCACACATACTGGTGCACACACACATGCACACACATCTCACTCCAGCAAAAGATCGAGCTGTGTTTTAATAATTCCATTTGAGACAGACATGACTTTCAGTCAGAAAGGACCCACATAATGATGCTCTGATGAATTCTTGAGCAGTGTGTGCATTTGTGTGTGAGAGAAAAGAGCTTTGTGTGTCATGGGTCATATATTGTTTTATTTTTAAGTTGTGTCCCCACACACACATCCACACATACTCACATACACAGAAGCTTATATCCTGGGGAGAGTATTTTGAATCCCAACTGCTTGTGCATTTACTGAGGGGTTAAAGGGCCTGAAACAGTGAATCAAGTAAATAATTCACAGTCACTGAAACTCTTTCAATGTAACCTCCTGAATGAATGGGGGAGGGAAGGAGCTCAGAGATTTTATGTAGTGGTACAACATGCAGACTTCTTTAGTAGATTCCTTTTTGGACATGAGACAGATATGAGTGTTGATCTTTACCAGTCTGAGTTCATGTATGTAAACTGACGAAATGGTAGCATTATCATGCAGGGACATGCTGAATGTATAGACGCTGCTCTAAAGAATATCCCTTTCCTGTGTTTTCAGGTTGCCCAGATGCCTGATCGGTTGTGACCTAGAAACAAATGGTGTAACGACTGGATTCTCCAGGCTAAAGTCATCAATAATATTCAATGGATATCAGAGGTGACTGCGTTCTCTCCCTTCAATCTTTACTGTTCCTGGCCTCTTATTATGTGGGCTACATGTCATGAATTCCTTGCCGTAGATCACACCCCTTGAATCCCCTCCATATGTTCTGAAAGCCATATAAAAGTGTCAGGGAGACATTTTGAGTGACATTGCTTCCATCCAACGACTGATCGAAGGAGGCAGGAGCGAAATGCTGTCCTAATGAAATCATCTGGCCCACATCCATTAGTGCTACCCATTTCTCTAAAGACACAGAAAGGCCATTTATACAGGTAAACCATGGTCCCTGAAGTAAAAAGAGGTTGGTTTTTTTTCAGAAGGAATGGGAGCATCCATTATTTACTAGAGTAGGGTTGCAAGACACTTAGGAGATAATGCAGTGCTTCAAGCATACAAAACATTGAGCTTCCTTGGTCCTGGTGTGGCCACTGTTGTGTGTTTGGAACATGCTTGTTTCCATCCATACTGACAGATGAAAAAGAATATGTCTCCCCATGGTTCAGAGGCATGGACAGAGACAGATGGTGGAGAAAAAAATGGAAGAGGGTGAAGAGGATGGCAGGGAGACGTGTTTCTCTACTTGTCAGTCATATCTTTGTGCATGTCTGTGCACTTGGGTTCATGCGTGTGTCTGTGTGTGTGTGTGTGTGTGTGTGCATGTGTATTTTTAGCACAGTCTGTTTGTAGGGATCTATTGCACTCAGGCCTAGACTTATCCATCTCTCTTTGGTTATATCTTATAAGACCGAGACACAGCGCTCCAGTGGTTGGACAACAGCAAAGAGCGGCAACTTAACAGCAATACTGCCCTAATTTGAATATGTGGGGAATATATTTGCATTTCCACTGGGCTACAGATGACAAACAAACAGCACATGTGATCTGTGCCTTGTAAAGGAAACATTTGACTTAAAGATCTGTTTGGTGAAATGCAGCACAAAATATGCAGCTCAAATGTGTCTTCTCAGATGCTATTCATAATAACCAATTTAATCAGTTGAAGAAGCAATGACATAATTATTAAAGAGTGCTTGTAATAGTTTTTTTTTTGCTGGCGTTGCAAAGCAAAATGCCAGCACAGCCATTTAACCCAGATGAGTAAATCTATTGTACATCTGTTAACAAATCTTTTGTTGGCACAACTAAGGTCAGCAGTGACACACACACCATGGTCTATGGACTGTCATTCAGTGTCTGGCAGCCAGTAGCCAGCAGGTCTTTGGGTGATGAAGCCTGTCCAATTTTTTGTCCCTAACTCTATAGAGACACTAATCACAAGAATGACTACTCACAAAATGAAGTTATGTTATTCACAGTTAAAACATAGTTTTCTTACCTTTGCACTCATGCACTGTAATGTATGCGTGTGGTTTTTAACCCAGTCCCCTATCATGTGTCTGGCTTCCTGAATTGAAAAGATTCAGTCAAGTTTTATTCTCTGCAGATCTCGTCAAATGCCTCCTCCTGGTGAATGGATGTATCTGACTACAGTCCACAGGGAGTAGTTAGCTGAAGGAGAACTTGGCGTGCATCTACTCCGCCCTGCGAGGGTGGACGTGGGGGAACACTAAGCAACACTGTCTGTCTTTGTCAATTTCCTCAGGGAGCCTTTGACAAATAAAACTCTTTTTTAATGGGGGCACAACCCTCCCAAAAATTCCTCAGGTTGAAAATACTTTTGTATTCCAAAGTTGTGCGTTCATCAAAATAACAAAGTTTAAAAATTACATTGACCAGATTTACTGGTCAATCTATTGACTGAATATATGCCAACCAGAGAAACAAAATAAACACAGATAAACACTATTACTGTTCAGGTTCTCTAGCTTTACAGCTTGATAATAGGGTTAAGCTCTGATGAGCGTTGTTAATGCATCTGTCGGTGGTAAACGGGCTACAAATACATTATAAAAACAATCCACAGACTTTCAGTGGACATGAACGACGTGAAAACTGCAGCTTCAGCTGTGAGGATGAGGCCAGATGTGTGGCTAAGATCCACAGGCATATGGACAGACAGGACAGTCAGTTGCTCTGAGCAGGTAGGGTAGTTTGCTTAAATTCTTTGCCCTTTATCTTTGGCGTTGGTCTGACATTGGCTGTTGATGACTTGACCCCATGCTAACCTGCACTGTTCTGTACTGTAAGCCAAACATCAGAGAAATTTCTTGCTGAAGAAAAAAGCCTAGTCAGAAGAAATCTTTTTGTGCAGTTTTTTAGGGGAGGCAGCTGACTGAAATAATGATTTTCTTTTTATGTAAATATTATAAGACAATCATTTAGACCTGGTGGCGCTTTGGCCCAGAGGCAATGTCTCTGTCATTGGTGTGGAACCCCAGGGTTCACCCCCTGGACAAATTCGAATCCCGGTTAGGGTGGTTAATACCTTCCAGTGGACTCACCACCCGCAGGAAGGTTTAGGGGGGTTGGTATGGTGCAGTGTGACTGGGTGGAGACTGCTGCCCCCATGACCCGGTAACAGATAAGCGGATGAAAATTGATGGATTTAGACCTGGTCAATGGAATGCATTTTTGTTTTTATAGATTCAGAAATACATTTCTACTCTGTCTTTTTTGGCTAATATCATTACGATATTATGATAACATTGACCAATTATATAACTGATCTGTAATATAACTGATCTGTAATCTGAGCTCATTTGTAGTCAAATGAGCTCAGCTGTTTCTGCCGCCTAGACATTGATACTGGGGCCTCAAATACCTCCCATGCTCGTCAGCAAGGTGTATAGTTTTTTGTAGAAATGTAATATCATAATATCTGTCTGGAGCAAGGGAGTGTCAGGTACGGGGGGAGGAACCAAGGAAAGGCTGGGAGCGCAGGTAACCCAGGTCAGGTCTGGTGTAAAGGGTATCCGATAAGGCGTTCCCTGGACCCTACGGTCTCCCAGTATCTTCTATGGAAGAATAATAAGCAGTTGTAAACCTGAGACACTCCCAGGTCTGTGTCCTTAGCCACAAAAACCATCAGCGGGTGTCTTATCGGGTTCTAAGGATATCGTGTAAGACAATACATGTGAGAAGTGCACAGGGAACAATGGGAGGAAAGTGCAGCGTGGTATAAGGGAAGGGGGGGGGGCAATGTTACTGGATAATCGTCGCGGTCTTTGTCACCTTCAAGTTCACTGGCAACTCACAACTGGCTCAACTGCTTCCATTCAAGGACTTCAATGTTAGAGTGTGATGAAACTCTACAGCCAGCGCTGTTTGAAATGCTTCAGCACTGACACACTATACGTACAGCCGATGTCTGTTTCTTGTAAAAATCAAACGTATGTAAGTTGGGGGTATGTGTGGAGGTGAAAAACTATTTTAAGAAATTTAAATGTTATTTTAAAAGAGTGAAATCTGTAGTATGATGATGTACTTTAATCTAGTAAAACTACACCGGAAAATGCTTTTTTATGTTATTATTGACTGATTAATAATGTGAGCTGAACACATCGTATTGTCACAAAAAAAATGTGGAATAATTTCTTCTCATCCTAATAAGTTATGGTCTTTATTGCCTGATATAGATTTTCATGATGTAGCAGACATTTGTATTAACAAACAGGGCTGGACTGCAAGCAGACCAGTGAAGCATTCATTCTGGATTGCATAATTTTGCTCAAAATTAGACATACCCTATTTGTGTGCTGAAAATATGTGGCGTTTCTAATATTAAAAAAAAAAAAAAATCCCTGCATTAATGATCCATTGAGCAATGAGCAAATTTTGGTGCTCCTCCCTGTCCGTCACAACCCTTCACTATTGTTCTGATACAATTGAACATAACCCATTTGATTTATCTTTTCAGGTAGAAGATTTCCAGTGATTGTAAAGGAGCGAATCTGGATGTCACGCAGAGAACACCACTACTTCCAGGAGCATCATTACTATCCTGTTTGTCTCCTGTGAACCTGACTTTTATAAAAAAAATATTAGAAGTATTAGAAGAAGAAAGAAGTATTTTCCCCCTTTATATAGATGATGCTTATCATAATCATTACCTGGAAAAAGTATTCTTTCAAATAGGATTTTCATAAGAACAATGAATTCTCACCAAATTCACACACCCACTCACACTGTGCAGATGATCGTATTTCTGATGATGATTTCATATTGTCTTTGCAAATTCATGTACTTTTGTAAAAAAAAATGCATAATTTGAAGTACTTAAGTAATATATATTTGCTGTGTTTATTTTCTGTTTAATGCAGAACACAAGTTTTTGGAAGATTAATTGTGAACAAATCTGGTGTAAAAGTCATATAATTCACTGCACAGCTGCCAGAATTGAAACACAACTCCTGACATGAAATCCTTTTCACCCACGTTTTTATGCTTCATTAACCTTCATTCATTTTTATGTTTCTCCATTGTCTTGTCTTCTTCCTTATCATATTAATTCCCTGTCTCTTTCTACTTAACTTTCCGTTTCACCATATATCTTGGTGCTTACCTCATCCTCATTTCCTCCACCAGCATCACTCTTCCCGTCTTTCAGTTCTATCTGTCCTACTCCACCCTTACCCATTCTACTGTCATATCTACAGCAACTCCCCTTCTCCCTTCCCTCTTGTCTTTCTCTGCTTCTCAGATGTCAGATCATAGTCTCCTCTTCCGCTTGCCCTGTCATCACATTTTTCACACAGTCCCATACCGTAATTGGGCCTGTATCATCATATCATATCATGAAGAATACCTGATCACAGCCAGAGATGAAAGATAGCCTCCACCTCTCCACCTCAGAGACACACAGAGGCACTCACATACGACGTGCCGACCCCAACAAACACACACACACACACACTTATGTACTCCACACAGAGGCACGCTGCCACAAACACATACATCAGTGGTCGTATGGGACAGGTATCTGAGTTGATGGCTGTGTCTGTGCACATTTTTACACCTCATGTTTGCACCAAGTTGTGGATGTGATGTTACAGCATGACAGGTGAGACGGTGTGGTATTCCGAGAGTGTCCAGAGATGTTTGTTTCAACTGCTAGTGGCTTTTGTGATTAGACAAAGGATGCCCTGGAGCCAGCAGTGTCACATCTACAGGTAAATAAAGGGGAAATCAACAACAACAGGGGAAGAAAAAATTTTTTTTTCAGGGAAGCAAAAAATAGCTTCGACTTGTCTTTAGATCAACTTGACAGATGGGAGATGAAATCTGGTGCAGGATATCAAGTCATCCTTGATATTGGTGGAATTCAAAAACAATAAGCTGTGTCATTCAATAATGCATACGAATGCAACTACAAGTCTAAACAATTTCTACTCTCTATGTAAAGCACTATTTCAAAATAAATCACAATTTGATTATATTATAATTGCTCCTAATTGATGACATGATCACTGACAACCTCCCTGTCTATATTTATAGAAAACTGTTTGTCCACACTGAAAATAACAGTAATGTGTATGTTGTCTCTGTCTGTGCCATATGAAATATATGAAATACACCTCATGCTGTATTTTGAATAAACCATTTCTCCTTCACAAGTGCTGAAATGCTTCTTTTGTTGGTTCCCCCTCGGAAGCAGTGAGCTCCTGGATCTCTTTCCTCCTCACTTCAGTTGACTCTGGTTCCTTATCCATTCTCATCCTCCTCGATCTGAGCGCCGCTTTTGACACCATCTCACACCCCATTCTCCTCAATAGACTCGCTTCCATTGGTCTCTCTCACACACCCCTCACCTGGTTCCGCTCTTACCTCACTGGCCGCACTCAATATGTCCAACTCAGATCCTTCACTTCAAAACTCTCCCCTGTCACCTCAGGTGTGCCCCAGGGCTCTGTCCTGGGGCCTCTTCTTTTTATCATATACCTCCTCCCCCTTGGTCACCTTCTACGCACATTCAACATCCATTTCCACTGCTATGCGGATGACACCCAGCTCTACCTCTCCTGCAAACCCAACTCCACACTCCCACCCCCCTCCCTCACCGCCTGCCTCTCTGAACTTAAATCCTGGTTCACTTCAAATTTTCTCAAATTAAATTGCAATAAAACTGAAATCCTCCTTCTTGGCACCAGAACTACTCTTTCTAAAGTCAACAGCTTCGCCCTCACCATTGACCTTTCCACAGTTTCCCCCTCCCCTCAGGTAAAGAGTCTGGGTGTCATCCTTGACAGCACACTTTCCTATCACGCTCATATAAACACTCTAACTCGCACAGCCTATTTCCACCTCCGCAACATCAACAAACTCCGCCCCTCCCTTACCCCTCACACCGCCGCTATCCTTGTACACAGCAT